TTCTTTTCCGTACGCTTTCTTCTCTCCTGAGAAGAGCGCGTCCAGTGTTCCTTATTCGCTCTTTTTCTCTCGCAGCTAATCCAGTATGGATTAGCTGCGACCCCTAAGAGCAATGAGTTTAATGTCTGGCGTCGTTTCTGCGGTCGTTAACGAGGATTACATTAATTCGTGTTGCTACTTGCTATGATAAATAAACTTAGGATGAGTAACGGTGGCGCGCGTTTATGGATAAAACCTAAGCGATTTTTTCCCCAAACGGATATAAGATATTTACTCCGCATTAATAAAATAATTTCATTTTTTAAACGTTTTTTTTTAAATATATATTAATAGTTTATAGAAGACAATTAACTTTATTTTCTCAGACTCACAATTTTTATGAAAGTCTGCTAACTATGAAAATTGACAAGTACAATAACGGTCAATATTGATACGAAAAGTAGATAAAAGGATGGTATGAGTATAGACGCTTTCAAATTAGTTTCGAACTACGCGAGTAAAAGTCACAAAAGAATGTGTTGCCGTCTTGCGAGATATATTATATAATACATAGATACACCTCGGTCAATACCAAGCTTCTCACGAAATATACGTTGCAGCGTTGATGAATTGCCTTATAATAATCGTGATGAGTTCGAAACTTGGCTTCCAATCTCCAGACGGGACTGTTCTGTTCGCATTTCCTCTCGAGGCTTTAGCTCGAGCTTTAAAAAGGTGTCTCCCCGCCCGTCATTTTCAATTATTTTTATTGAATTGACGATTGTACGGTTGAAATCAACGCATCGAATCCAGGATGGCTCTTCTCCGAGCCAGAAAGAACGAGGAGATCTTCCTTCGACGAAGACGGACGTGACGACGCGTTGTCGTTCAAAAGGACGGGTGGATAGCAGCCCGTCAGAATTAATTAATTCCGCCGACGCTTCTCCACCTCCGTTTCTTTCAGCGCCGTCAGCGCCTCCCCGGCGCTCCAACCGCCGCGCCGCAAGTCCGCGACAAGTCCTCTAGGCTATCCTCGCCGGCGACGTCGGTTCGCCGAGCTTTTCCCTCGTGAAAATCGCGACGAACCGCGAAAAAGCGTGTCCGCCCGAGCGAGGCGATCGCGATAATTCTGTCGGCGGTGCTCGACGACACGAGAGAGGACTCCCGCGAGATGATTTTAAAAAGAGGGGCACAGGCGGTCGTAGATAAAGAAAACTAGAAGTGGGAAATAAAAGAACGCGGAGATAGGTGGAAAGGGCTGACTAGGAAGGTCGAGCAGAAATGGGGAGGCCGGAGGGAGAGAGCGGAATGAAATTTGCATCGCAAAATCCTACCGTTTACCCCCGTCCTCTCTCCCCCGTACTCCCGTGTTTCCCCACCGTCGCTTCCCTCTTTCACTCAGCGAAGGAGGAGCGTAGAGCTATTCGTATATATACGAGGTAATGACGGTGCTCGGTATTCCGTGAAGAAAAGGAGGAACGTCCATTGGACAAGCGGGACTCGCTTCTGCATCGTGGATCCTGTTTTGTGTCTCGTAGGCTTGTTTGTTTTGCACGGGCTATCGAATGCACACAAAAGACTGAGAGGCTCCCTCCTCCACTTCGCAGATCCCAACCCCTCGTTCAATCTCTCGCTCGTTCCTTCCTTCAGCCACCGCGGCTCGCCCGTTACAAGAAAAGGGACCAAGGTAGTGACCTATGAAGCAGGAATTTTTAGGGTTTTAACTGCACGTGAAAACGTTTATCACGCCCATGTAATGGGAACAAATAACCAAGCTACTGTTTCAACCGAGTAGATACCTTTGATACTTATTCGTCAACCGATTTCACGCACTTTTTAGCAGAATCGTCGTCTTCTTACGCGTCGCAATATGCCGCCAAAATTTTCACATTAATGCTTCGCTTAACCGTAGCGTAATTTAATAAGCAAAATTTTGTAGACGTAACTAATCGAAGAACACTTCGATGTTCGTGATAATTTGTAAAATAAAATAGAATTTATTTTTATATCGCGATTCAGTGTACTGATTTCAAGAGGAAACTCAGAATGAAAATATTTAAAGAGAGATACTCATTCTATCTCCAATTCAGTTCGCATATTAAGAAGATATTTGAAATGTAAATTATTATCGACGTGGTATCGCCTGTACAGGTCATGTCGTGTACAATTACCAGATGTAATCCTAGACGAAACTTTAGTATCGAATATAATTTTCCTCCGTGAATGAATCTCGATCTCATCGTAACATTCGCGTAATACGTCGGAAATTCCCTCCCCCCCCTTCTTACTCATGTATTACACGGACGCGATTGGCCGTAAATGCGCCGTATATGGTCGTCCACCTTTCTAATTCTCTTTATTTCTCCCCTTAGACGAATTTTATAAAATCACGCAACCGTGCCATAATAGCTCCACGAGCGAAAGAGCAGAGCGGGCATTACTGCGAGGCCGTGGCTTCGGGGCGAACGTAATGCGATCTCTCCTGGACACTGCTCGTTAGCGATCGATAATTATAAATAATTAGTGAGGCAAGGCGTGCCGCTTCGATGGTGCTCGACAAGAGACCAGTGGCCGTGGATATGTATACTTATCTTGGGGGAAAAAAGCATTGTACGCAAAGAGCATTAATGACCCCACGTGCCGAGAGGTTACTTGTTTTTTAACATTGGGTTATCCTCCAGTGTAAAACACGTTTCTATTATCTTGCTTACTCGTGTAACTTCAGTCAGTGCTATATGCTTTACCGTCGTAATGTTTTTCGTATAATACTCGCGTACTCGTTGAGTTTTGCTTGGTTTTGCTGAAAGGCTACAACGTAGGTTGTAGCTTTCTCGAGCTCCATCGAGTATTCAAAGCAACCTATCTGGAGTTCCATTATAGGTTTCGGTGCATACGTATTGCCGTATCTTACAACTTCAATACCGAACGTAACACTTGTTTCTGACGGCTTTAGGGCCTCGTTCGTATTCCGCGCCTATACCTTAGACGTGGCACGAAAAACATACAGAGTCCTTATGGTCGGAATGTGCAATATTATTTACAATTCGATTTTATGATAGATATTTTTTCAAAGCAAAAAATTGCTTAATAATAGCACGATTATGTTGTAATGATATAATAATATTCTACAATTACATTTGAATGTTAAAAATGTTAAAAATAATTTCTTAATTATATCTCACTTTCAGAGTTTTCGTCTCTGCTTAGATTTTCGTTTACTTCTTACGTAATATACATATATTATTATTATTTGTATTACTTTTTGTCTACTGCAACGCATCCGGAATAATTTCATATGCAATTTCTAAGGAAACACGAATTTGTGGAATATAATTAAAGTCTATGAAATGATAAATGACGAAAATATGTGACAGAATTACAATTATGCTTATAATCAGCGAAAAAATAGTTTCTTTTTATAAGATCCATAAAACATTTAAAGATACCGAAAATATTTTAGCGAGGCAAAAATTGATGAAAAAAAATTGACTTAAAATGTAGATTCTTCGTAAAATTGACAGACGCGAGCATTGTGCTATATTACGTGCTATAATACCTTGATCGAGAAACGCGAACGTGTTTTTGTCATACGCGACTGCGTGAATGCACTCAAACGCACCGGGCACCGGGGTGGTTATTTCCCGGTTTGCCGGAGTTTCACGTTGGACTAACGCCTAAAATTAATAATACTAACGCTGGGGAGGGGGGGAAAAATAATTTCACCTCCGGCGAGGTGTGAATAATGCATGAGGCGTGACGCGAAATCCGTGCGGTGTTGCTGTTGCAATTGCAGCATATGGAACACGCGTACTTATGCCATATCCCTGTGCGGTACATATGAGCACGATACAGTTGCAGCAGCAGCAGCAGCAGCAACGGCAGCAGCAGCAACAGTAGACGCTCTCGACCTCTTCCCTGAAAACGATCGCGTTTACTAATAGCACCGGCGCAATTAAAATTTCATGGCCCATGGCATAGTAATGTTTCCACTATTCGTCGGCAACCCGTGCAGTCGATGCATAATCCGTGTACGAGGGGTGACACGGATTAGCCGTTGATAACGCGGCACGGTGATACGATTAATCTTGGGTATAACGGTCGCTTTTTAACTAAGTGCCAGTTGGACGATTGTAAGCGATTTTATTTCACGGGCGCGATATTTAGGGGGTCGATTTGTCGTGCAAAATAGACCTCTTATCGTGCAGATTGTGCGCGACGTAAAATGAAGACGGACGAGAGGGCGGGTGGAGAGCGCTATTTGCAAAAATGATAACAAATGTCTACGCTGCCGTAGCAGCGCGATAAGAGTCCCGCTTTACACGACAAATGCAAGTTCTGGCGATGATATTTACATAAATATGGTTGTTGTATTGTGCCAGTGGGGCAATCAGCTTATATCGGAAAAACGATTTAGATTCGTTGACAGGATTATAAAGTGCGCGTTTATTTTCTACTTATTAGTTAAATGTTAATCCGTGATCTTTAACTCAAATCTAACACAAAGTATCTTATTTTAACTTTACATTTAAAAAAAAATAAATTTCCTTGTAATTAAAGAAATGTACACGTTTAATTATTAAATCGATAAGTGTTCCCAGAGATACATGTAAGAGTACACTTCCTCACTTTTTAACGGTAAAAGTTACTTCCTTTTATTCCGTGCCGGTAAATTTACCTTGGCAGTTAATTCCATTATAGCGTCCTAGCTACAATACATTTTCGCGATAGCAACCGACACTATTTTCATGGAGGGTTCGTTTCGCGAACCATAAAATAAATTTATCAATGAGACGCAATCGGACGCTGTGATTACATTAAACGAACGTATGTAAGGGAAGTCGCACTTAAAGTGGCCGTTTATTTTCGGCCCAATTCTGTAAATATCATCGCTTGCATTACCATCGTAGTTCATATACTCCACGACATTGCCGAGGTGTCTGCGGACAACTAACACGAATTACTCTGTGCTCAGGACATCGACACGAGGCTGTAACCACCCTGCGACCATCACGATGCCAGGAACGTGCTTGATGACCGATGCGGTCAGGACAGCGGATAGTTAGTGATGAGGAGGAGCAAGTTATCGGCGTGCCGACGGCCCAGGTCACCAGTAACATGCCAGTCCTTGGTCCCAGCGCCGATCCAACTCCACTTCGAGGACTTCTGATCGCCATCTTCGTCCTATTGTCCCTGTCGCGTTGTCGCTGCACGGATCTAGGTAAGTCGAATTCGAACTCCGTCCGTACGCGTCACACACGACACACACCCGAAGTTTTATGACTTCCGAAAAGTGCTGACACTCTTTTGACCCTTTCCAACTTCCGTCACTCTCTTTACAATCTTCTCCATTGTCCCAGAGCGCACTGTCGTCGCGCGAAGTCGAGAGGTTGCGATTGAAAATCTTATACGATGCGTCCCGTGGAGACAACCGCGAGTTTCTCGGAAACTAAAATGCTTATAGCCTCGAAACAAGTACGAGGTACGTGTCTCGCATATAATTTTTCAAAAACAATTTTTTTTCACTTAAAGTTTAATTTGTTAGAAGCTATACTCATTAAATTCGTAATGTTTAAAACTTCTTTAATACAACAATTTCAAAAAGCGTAACAAGACTATTAATATTATAGACATAATTTTACAGATTTTGTAGTTTTATTAATTTTAGTTTAATTAGATTTACATCATTCTTGTTGCAAACGCACCGTGTTATTGCAAATTGTTTAAGAAGGGAATAAATCGTATGATGAAATATTAAGTACGTCAAACTCTATAATAAACTAAACTGCCGCTGGCAACGTATTTATAAATTAATTACAGCATCATCAGTTTTAATTGCTTGGAAGATTGCTCAATTACTTATCGTTCTCTCGTTTCTCTCCACTCTTTGATTTAATATTTATTATTCAGGATTATATTATATAGTACAATCTGTCTAATTGTAAGTTTTTTTCTCGTGAATAAAACGTTTTGCCCTTTCTATCGTTTTGTGAAGGCGATGCTAAGAACAAACGGCCAAATAACATCATAGATCGAATATTTGCAAGCACTGCAATTAATTGATGTCGATAACATGAACGATTGTATATATTATCTTTCACAATATTGTTAAAAATTTTAAGAAAAATTTAGAATGCAATATGTTGATAAGGAAATTCGCGAATAAGATCCCGGCTTTTTGTTACGCAAACGGAAAAGACATGACAAGCACCGAGGATGCCGTGCGTAATAATTTTTTTTTCACCGGAGCGCACTGGAGCGCGTACGCAATAATACCATCCCTCCCTATTATATACACCTGGCCTCCACCGAGGTATTGTACCCTCGTAAATGAAATGTCAGCCGCACGATGAATTAACAATACTATCTAATAGCTGCTCAAATGCAGACGAGCGAGAAGCCTGTTCATTGTGCCGATTCGTTCTGGCGTGCCGCGCTTCTGATTCCTTGTTTACCGCTCATCCGTTATTTTTTTATGCAAATTAATTTGTTGCTTGCGAGACGATGCTGCGTTAAATGGAAGTATATATTTATAAAACAGACAGAATACATTAGCTTATATGTGCTCGTATTGATACACGTGAATCCTTTTTTGCTTTATGTTACTGACAAAATAAGAATAATTTAAAATTGTAACATTTAAAATATATAGAAAAAACAGTTTCTATGAACAACTAAGATGAGAAAATGCCAACTTGGTCAAAGATCTTGGTGCTTAATGATATCTCTATATTTGAATCTTACAATTTTCAATTCAAGCAAACTGCGCGCCGAATAATTATCGGTCCTGAAACACAGTTCTAAATTGAATAGTACGTAATATGACACTTAACTTGACCAATTTAATATTTTGATGTTAATGAACAGCTTTTAAATGAAAAATGTTGCTACGAATTTGTATAAAATTTTTAAATAATTTTTAAAATTTTTTTATGCGTTTTATGTTTGCAAAATTATTAAATTGCAATAGACGTGTTCAAAGATTTATTTAGGTCTCCCATCCAGCGTCATATATTTCTTTAACTAATTTAATTCCATATGTTAATTAATAATTAATATTTAATTGGAATAATTAATAACATTATATAAATATTAATTATTAATTATTGACTATCGTTATTGAATATATTTGAGCTTTTGGTGAATTGTACTGTCAATCATGTCACGAATCATTGAAATCGTTCATTATCCTGCACGCTGGAAAACACATTGCGTCTAGGATATCCCAATATGTCAGCTTGACTTATTGCTTTGGGACATGACACTAAAGCTCGGGTTCATAGCCGTTATCGTTGTATACATAGGATATTGAATGTGCACGATACACCATGCGCTCTTGTACAAAGTACGCAAACACACAAATGTTAAAAAATGTACTAATTGCCACCAAAGATATAGGCGATATAGCACTTTTAAAATTACCATTAATACTTCGCATATTACGATTATTACGAACAGACGGGAAAACGTTATTAACTCTATTCGAAACTCAGTAAATAGAAGTCGTCATTTTATTTGCAAATATCTATCGACATTTTCACGCTCTTCGTATTGCATATCTGTTTTATCGGAAAGACACAATGCGCCGATTGATTAACTACGACGAGGATTTCATTTGCCAAATAATTTTCGGACACGAAACATCGGATGCGCCAGCGGTGTGGCTCGCTAAATCCAGGTTAGCTCGATAATTACAGCACAGTTCATCTCAGTCGCACTCTGTCGCATTAATGGACGCAGTATAAAGGCGAATACAAGATGCAAATACGATTGAGATGCGCAGCCTGAATAGAGAGAGGAACTCTAACGTTTATTAGATAATAATTTCACACACACACACACACACATACATATATACTCGCGCGCGCACACCGCGGAAACATAATTTTTTCAAATTAATTTTCCAAATCCAGAAATTAGAATAGTTAATTATTGATGTTCAAATGTGTCTCAATCAATACTGCTCCTCTTTAGAATAAGTCTTATTCGAGCATACCATATTAAAGACACAAATTAATGAAGAATATATTAATAATGAGATTGATATGTATATCGCAATATTAACGATAACTTCAAGCATGGAGTATGTAATGATACTGATAAATTTTATGATTTTGTTAAAAAAGAGCAATATAAAGAAAATGTAATAAAGTCTTATAAAGAAAGAGCACGCCATTTTTATGAAAAAATGCGAAGAAGGCTGGTTGATAGCGCACTTGTAAAGAGTCATAACTTCCATTTGTAAAATTTTTAATAAAACAGTAAACACGATGGAAAGAACTTCTCTGCTGAATGAACCTCGTTAAATGTATCATATATGCCATTGCCAACCATTTTGTGCAATATATTAACCATTCTCAGCATTTGACACATTTCTACGAAATGCAGTTTTGTACAATAACATTTACCTTCTTAATCTCCAGCAGTCACTTTATTGCACGTTTGCAATAACAAATTTTCGCGTTTACTCTCGCATGATTGACAACGTCATGATTGAATTCATATTTTTTTATATCGCTTTTTTCGATTTTTATATGTAAGCATTATGTGATACGCTGAACACAAATATTGAATTGTTTAGCTGCTGTTCACTTGATTGAATGTTTATCAGATTACCCCAGTTCAGAAACGGACAAAATTTTTATCGATTTCGCTCGCAAATAAATTTTCCCCCTGTCTTTTACGAATTTACTGACAATCTAATTAAAAAAAAATTGAGTAAGGTGAATGTCCTAATTAGTGGCAAAGTTAACCTCGTCGTGACAATTAATTAATAAATTATCGATATATATATCATAAGTGCATGAAATAAATGTTATTGAAAAATTTGGATATTTAAGATTCTGAAAAAATTAAATTCTTTTACTCTTTTAAAAATACTTAATTTTTTTATTATTTCTTATTTCTTCTTTATTCCTTTATTTCTAATTTTTTATTTTCTTATTTCTTTATTTATTATTTCTTTATTTATTATTTCTTTATAAACATTGTTTTGTACCATTTAGTGACACATGAATTTGAAATTGTCCCAATTTCACATGCTAGTACATGTCACTAATAGGTGATACGCATATAAAAGTACTTATCAATGATACGCTGTACATTGTACAAGATAAGAACGTCCCTATTACTGACACCTCGAAAAAAAAAAATAATCATTGGAATATCACAAATTGATAACAAATTATAAGTGTCTTAATACACACTTGTTCTTTTCTTTAAGTTCTCCTTCGGATAAAGGTGCCTTCAATGTTTCTTTTTGACACGCAATCTTTCTTTTGGCACACGCGATATCTGAATATTCACACTCACTTGTGACAATTAAGATAGGTTAGGAACTCTATCTGGTTATCACAAATTGGTACAGAATCATATATGAGTGTCCTTATTACTAATTTAAGCATGATAATTTACAGATTAAGAATTCGAAGTTGTATTAATTTTTAAATTTTGAGAGGATTAATTACGATATTAATGCGATATTAATATGATAATAACGGAAAGAACGATTTTGTTGAAAGGTCTAAAAAATTTTGCTAAAAACAGATTTGAAAATAATTTTTTATTGAATCATTAAAATAATTTGTTGGAATGTTAAAACTGATAAGTATTGCTATAAAACGTTTTGATATTCTAGCAATTATTTTGACTTTCACACAAAATTATTTTTGATCATTGAACAAAAATTATTTTTAGATCTGGATTCAGCAAAATTGTTCTTTCCGTGTGCTATTCCTTAATTCAATGATGATTGATATTTATAAATTTACATGGCTTCTTTAAAAATAAAAACGTTTTTATTATTTTATATCATATTTATTTCGACTGTCAGTAATAAAGACAAACAAATTTTAGTACCGATTAATGACATATGCATTAATTACAAAAATATGTATTTTGTGACGTTTTCAGTTTACTCACAATATTCCTTAATATATACTTAACTTTGGGTGTTTACTTTTCATTTCTTTTTAGCTTAATAGCTAGAATTAATTGATGAAAAAATCGTCGATGTAGTCGTTGCCTCGTAAAATATCAGTGAGCAATGGCTCGATTTGTCATCGTTAGCAGCATGCTTATAATTATAATATTTTAGCATTTACAAAAGCGTTTAATTTTATTCAAAATTCGTTGTAATAAATAATATGTACAATTTTGAAAACCAACACATTTTTTAGACTGAATATTGCTCTATATTAATTGATTTATTGAGAAAAAAAGATACGATTGACACAAATTGGGACAGTGTCATTAATTGGGACATTCGCCGTACATGTAAGAGAAAGATAGTGGATTTACTCGACGGTTACGTTGTGTGACTACTGAAGACTCATAAACGGGCAACGCAGTAATCTCGCGCGTTTGACATTTTTCGAACGTATCGAACGCAGATTTTAGTCACGCCACCGCAACACATCGCCGGGCCAGGTTTTACCGGTATAATGGACGGTAGGTGAAACGTAGGGGACAGTTACAAACACAAACGAAGTTTTGTTCGCCGTAATGCTGGCTCATGGAGACCATGGGCCGGCGCGGGCGGCCGGTAGTAGCTCCGGCGGCCGAGCTAATCCCACGTCCGCTGCATTCTGCAGTTTTGAAACTTTCCACCGTAACTGCAGTACCGTAGTTTAAGCGTAGCGACGTCGCACGCGCAACGAGGTATATACCTGGCCCGGGCTGGCTGACTCTCGCGGATTCGAAAATTTATCATGTCCCACGTATATACACCATACCACCAGACGTTGTCATCGGCGGTGCCATTGCCAGTTGATATTCCCGCTATCGATTTTTCGCGGTGACGTCGCGCAGACATGTTATACACAGCGTCGAAAAAAGATATCGGAAAGCGTTGTTTTTATTGCCATCCTGCGCGAATGGTCGGCAGTGTTTATGCATTATTTTCTACATGAATATCTCTTGTCTCTCCTGTGATATTTTCAATTCGCGGCCGATATCGAAACGAGAGTAGAAAGACTCTCCGTGTCTACGTCGAATCAAAATGCCAATAAGACGTTTTGAATAATACACTTCATTTTGATGCGCTTCTACTTGTCTCGTAACGACAAGATAACGAAAGGGCGATTATGTCGAATGTATTTTAATATTAGCTAAGTATAGAATTAGCTAGATACTCTACGTTATTGCATTATAACTCGAACGTATATCGTTTTATTTGTGACCATGAAAATAGCTGCTAACTCACGGAGAAAAAGAAATCGGAAAAGAGTGGCGACGCCAGCGTACTCGCTACAATTGTAAATTGCTTTTCGTGTGTACCCAGCGGAATACGAAGTCGCATGTTTGTGGCGACCGGTGCGGCGTTTCCAAGGATTTCGTCGGAGAATTTGCACATCTCCGCGATAGTGCTGTTAGCCGCGGACGAGATTGTTGAAAACGAAATTCTTAGGCACGTCCAGAATAAAATCGTCGGAGAAATCTTTTTGACTGCAAATGGAAATGAAAAATACGTATAATACGAATTAACTGTTTGATGACGTGATTCGCTAAGGCTGAATCCTCGCGGGATTAATCTATTATTATGTCATCATCTTCCACTCGAAGTTTTCATTTTAATGCGCGACATTAACGAAATGAAGATTGATATTGAATTTCGTCCAATGCAATCGTGAATTGTTTCCAGGACAATGCACCACGGCGTTGGGCATGGAGAGCGGAGAAATCCCCGATGAAGACATCTCGGCGAGTTCTATGTACGATCCCAGCCTCGGACCGAAACATGCCAGGTAAGAGAACAATCGTATCACGAAACTGCCGTCAAGTGGGTCGACCATTTTGGTATCTCAGGGAAACGAATATCCGGCTTGTGTAATCATCAAGTTCGTTCATCGCCGTTTATCGTCAGCGGTTTTCTACTATTTTCTTATCATATTTTCTTGATAGAAAATATAAATACTTCTGCTATTGAAATTTATAATTTTGTATCCCCGTTTTTTGTTAAAATATATCTTATTTTTTTACGATTGCAAATTTTATTATTAAAATTGAAATTTATAATTCTGTATCCCCGTTTTTTGTTAAAATATATCTTATTTTTTTACAACGATTGCAAATTTTATTATTAAAATTTATGATTTGCTGTCCTTGTTATCATAAAATTTCATTGTACCTTTTCATTTTTTCATGTTATTATAAAAAACGGCTGGATGTTTTTCCTCCGAATTTCGAATGTACATTCGAAGCGATTTTATTTAAATAATACAAAAAACAAAAACGTATACATATAATTACACTAATATATATATATATATATATATATATATATATATCACGCATCTCACGTTAGAATTAAATTAGGTAATTGCCATTCGCATCACACTGTATTATCGAAATTCCTTTAACCTCGCAATGTAAATCGCGTGACACGAAAGAATGTCTCTCGCGCAATGGCATTAGCGAACCTGCTACATGGTTCACTTTATTTCTTATTACAACACCGAGATTAAAATCGCTAGGTAGCTACGGCATTTGCGTTCCGCGCCTTAGGTGTATTAAAATTTTAAATAACACGCGGCCTCAAAAGCACGGTTGTAAAACTTTGTTATCAGGAAACGAATGATGGAAGGATATGAAGGAGTGGAAATCTTTTGATTTGTCCGCGCAGTAAATGGCAAATTAATTTTATGAGCATCATGATTATGCCTCTCGCTCACGATAGCGATCTTTTTGGACGTGTTTTACTTATCAGTAGTTATGATTAAGAACTATTATAAATTTCTTATATTCATATGAGAAATACACGGAAAGTAGCGTTGTAAAACAAATAGGGTATAAGTCATGAATATTCTAATTGATCCATAATAATCCATATGTAATCGATAACGAAGCCGGAAAAAAAAACTAAGATCGATCGCCTCGATGAAATTGGAGGATTATCAACCGCGATTAGTGCATATAGTCTCTTCGCACTCCCGTCATTAATAACGAGTTTCCTATCCAGAACACGTAGACCGCAGAAGCGAGTTGTGTGTCGAGCGGATCGATCTCGTCAACGATACGCGACAATTTACGGTAGGCTCTTTGCGCCCACCGAAAACCATGACACGATCTCCGATAATAACCGGTTTCGTGTTTCGATACCCTTGTTAGGGTGTCACGAAAAACAACGTCGATGATATAAAAAAAAAAGAGGCAAGACTACTTTTTGGAAGACCGTCGCGGTGAGAACGTTCGTCTATCGTAGGCCGCGCTTGGCAATTAAAAAATTTTAATTAAACCGCCGTACGCGCGACCGATCAGCCGTGACGTTTTAATTAACGATCTACTTCGTAAATCAAAAAGCGGCCTACGCGGCTGCATATTTCGAGGTAGATAGCCCTTGCTGGAGAGTTACGTCCTTCGAGCAAGTCGTTACCGGAGAGTTTCGGGATACACTGCCGCACACAAGTTCGGCCACGGTGTAACGCGGGGTAGGGTAGGTAGAGGCCGAAAGGGGGTCGACGGCGACGGGCGGCGGTGGAAGGGGTTTGCGCTCGACCCCTACAAATTACCTCCAATTTCGTGTAAATTCCTCGTGCCTGCGTCAGCATAATACCTGTATTAGAACGCCCGGCTCCGGCTCTTAGGTGGCAATAAATCTGTATTAGAGCAAGGCGCCGCTCCCACTCGCAAAAGGGGTACGACACCCGGGACCGGTTAATTTTTCAGGGCCGTGATTCGTCCGCCATGTTGTCTGCAATGTTGCCCATTACGTTCCGAATATCTTTCCTTTTTTTATTAATTTTTATTAATATAAACTTGTTTTCTTTATCACGCTTCTTTTGTAACACTTCTATTTCTCACATTTATTCTCTTTTATAACTTTGGTTCTCTCATATTACTCAACATAAATTGCTTATTTTTATGCGAATAGATTACAATAGAAAATGATATACATATAAATGAGATCATTACATGCTACATTTAGATTTATTATCTTATTCAAATATACATAAATTTCTTACATATATTTATATATATACGAGACATTATCCAAATGATTTAGCTGAGAGAGAAGATCTTAATACGATTAGAGAGTTAACGTCGCGAGGACGGCAAACGTATCAGCCGTAACTATCAATTGCGATTGTATAATTGGAGGATTCCCGGTTCTCGTTGGTAATCACTTTGGAAGCTAGCTCTCATCGCGATAAAATCTTTTCGGTGTCACGAAGCGTGAGGGCATTCGAGCGAAGACACTCGGGCGGTGTGTTTCACGAGCATCGAGCCTTGGAATCTAGCTTGAGCGCCGCGCCGCGCCGCGATAGTTCGGCTAACTGATGCTTATCGCGATACACGTGTTATCGCGTCGAGATAATCCGCGATAACCGCGAAATGCATCACGCCAACGCACGATTATAATTATAGATGAAAGATAGATATCCATTATGAGAGGTCGGGACCGCCCTAGACGAGGGACTTGGGATAAGATATTGGTCCGCTTCGTGCGCTACTCCGCGGAATATGATACAACGTTGTAGCGTTAAAGTACTGTATTTCAAAGTACTGCACGTATTATAGTCGGGTTCTCGGCGTAACGAAATTGCATCGTATATTTTATTAGAGAAGATTTGCGACGAGGCAACCCCACGACGTTTTAAGGTCATTGTCCATTCCGTCAGACAAATATAAATAGGATATACGTTATAAATAAATGTGAAACGAAATGTGGAAACGTAATTATATTTATTATCCGGATGTAATGCTTTTCGCGAGTCAATTAGTTTTGCGCGACGTTTCATTCCTTTGTCGTATGCTCGGTTGAACAACACGTAAATCATTTAGCTTATTTCGCAAATTCGCATATTAACTTGGACTGCTCGAACCTATCACATTTTTTTTAGCTTTTAATTATACACTTTACGTAGTCACAATCAGTGTGGCAACGTCGGCGTGAATAACGACTCGAGGACAGACAATAGAGGCGGTGGGCCAGTGTACAAAAGGACGAAGGAAGTCGCAGGACGGCGCGAGAAAGCGCGTCCACGCACAAAGAGAGACACGATCGATAAAGGCCCGGACAGAAAAGTGGACGGGCATGCCGGTACGTGCAACGAAAAAGTTTTTCGTTTTCATGTATGTGGTGCCGCTGGCCATTCGTATCGCTTTAGAGTTGGCACGAAAAGGAGGCGTAGTACGAGGTGGCAGCTCGATGTAAGAGGCCGATGGAAGAACGTGGAACGGGACGAGGAAGAACGAGAGAGAAAGAGAGAGAGAGAGAGAGGCGGAAAAGAGATGGAAAAAAAAACGGGCACGAAAAAGACGGAGTACGAAGACCCCAAGCGTGACAAGCCGAAATCTTCGACGCGCGAAGAAGCAATAGGGGTGGGAGAGGGTGAGCGGTAAGGGGAGGCCAGAATCACGCGGACATAAACTGTCCTACGCCGTTACGTGTGCTTTCAGCAGCCGAAGCCGAGGAAAAATGGTGGCCATATTCTCCTAGCCTTCGAGCCTGGCTATCTTCCACTTTGTTACGATTCGAAAACCCCCGGTGCCTCCGGTAGCTCTCTCGTTTCGGTGATTTATGTAACACCGCCTCCTCCCCTGGTATCTCGCCCGTTTTTTCTCGCGTTTGTATCGCTCGAGCAACTACGTCGTCGTCGTCGTCGTCGTCGTCGTCGTTGTTTGATGGAACAGGCACTTGGCTGCATCGTATCGCGCCACCGGAAATGCACCGCGCGCATTCGTGGCTTAGGCCTCGCCGTTCGCGTGACGATGTACTTTCGTGGTATAAATCTTCGGGAGGTTTCGAAGGTACCAGCCTCGAGCAGCGACCGACTCTGTCTTACTCTCTGGCGCTGATACACAGTTCCGGTCGACCGTTCTTTTGGGAGCCGGGCCAAGAACAATGGAATTCTTTTGATAAACGAAACAAACATTCCGCGCGACACACTGTATTTATGCGCAATATATGCAAAGCAGATTCCTTGACGCAAAGACGTATAGCCGTGGATGAACGCTCTAGAGGATAATTCAAAAGTCGATGCGATCGTAAGATAAGATCGTATTTAAAGAAAAGATTACTAGAGAGAACAAATACATAGCTCGTTTACAATTAAAATACTTCAACGATTTCTTTAACAGTATGTACATGTACATTTATATTATCTATATTTATTTAGTAAAACGGGATAATAATACATTATTTTTTTTACACATAATACAAAATATCTTGTAAATCTCGTATTTTCTTACGATCTAAATGTTTGTAATGTTTTGGGTGTATTTACCGTTGAGACTTTAACAAGCATTGATTTCTGAATTGTTTCAACTTCCTCAGATTCGAGAAGTCTCTCTTCTCGTACCAATTTCGTTAGTCGCGTATCTTTTGATCTCATTGGTGTAATCCATTTCTTAATGACACAAAGATCTTAATGGCACAGTGACACAAAGATTTTCCTTCCATAGAATGATTTGGTTTAAAGCGGATAAAATAAAGAGAAAAGATAAATATAAGACTATAACCCTCGTAGTAGAAACGATGAGCAATCTTTTGCTGGAAATCTTTGTCTTCGTTGCATTAACATAGTCGTTAAAATAACAACAAGGTCGCTATGAAGATTACGTCTTAATTTATCTGTTTGCGACAAAAGTGCTATATTTCAATCTTCCTTCACAGTGGAGCATATAATGCCACGCAAATTCTCAAAGTTCGCATAGTAAGCGAACCCATGACTCAAACGCGCGCCTCCTCGCAAAAAAGTTATTCGTTAACGCAAGAATTCCTCTGTCGATTTCTCTGTTGAGG